TAGCATGCTCAAGCTACTATTTCTTTGTCAATAATAACATATTTTATCCATCTCTCACACTCATTTGTGGAAGACTTTTAATAAGAATACTGAAGATATAAACAGCAGACTGCCACAAAGCTAATTTTTATAGTGGTAGATATACTGTTCTCCAGATATTGTTGGCTGCAGTTCCACTGTCTTTAATCAATGGCCATTCTGCCTACAGCAGATAACAGTTCAGCAACATCCAGTGGACCATCCATATGCTACCAATCCATGCTATGGTGTGATGCCATCCAGAAAAGGCTAGCCTGGTGAATTGCATGCCAATGAGACCTCCATCTTGTGTGAATATGGAGCTTTAGCTTCTTGGTACTCATCCAATCCATTATTGGTTCCACCCATCAATTTAGCCTTTGCAGCTTTTGTGCTGCTCCAACTGAAACAGAGATAAAGGAGAATAGAATTAGACTTGACTGACATGCTGATGATGGCCCATCACTGTTTAAAATTCCCTGGTGATCACAGTACTTTTAGGCAGATGTTAAAAAAAAAAAGGAGAAAAACTGAATCCTGCCTGCTGACTGGGGCCCAAACCTTGGCTAGCTATAGGGAGAAGGGGTATTGGGATCCTTTCTAGAAGTGGGCTCTATACAGGATCTTTATGTACTTAGTTTATATGGTTTACCTTGACTCAGGTAAAGCTGTTGTGCCGAAAAGGAATCCCTTCATCTTTACGTGCACGCTGTTGGCCTCTGTTATGTGGAGGACAGATCAAAATGGAGAGGAGCCCTGGAAAGTACCAGGTAAGATAGCACCTTTTATAATGTATCCCAGCCTTCCATGCACAAGATATTCCACATGTGTTGGATTAAAAAGGTTTTGGATCAGAAATGTTCTATCATCACACCAGCCAACAGGACAATTGCCTCTTCTGCTATTGCACTTATTCTTGTCATCTGTGCCCTTATGTCAGTTAATTGGCAAACTGACAACACATTCTTCCTGACTGATATTTCCTCTTAAGTTGATTATTTGAATATTTACATTAAGACCTGATGCCTGCCTCTTATAGTATAGCATCTCAAACAAAAGTATGGCAAGAACAATTCATTAAATTGAGGAATACCTTAAAATGCAATCCTATGGACATTTACCTGGGAGTAAGTCTAACAGTTGGACATATTTCCAAGTAAATGTGTGTAAGTCTGGAGTGTTAAGTTTGCTTTTTATTTATGCCAGAATACAGTCTTAGTTTGGTATTATTTTTTCATTTGTAACACTTTTTAACTTTAAAATATCATGCTGTCTTTCAGCAAAAAGTGCTTCCAAGGCAACAGTATGCAGTTAAAACAATTGAAATGTATGCAAAATAATCTAATTACAAAATTAAAAACTCAAGATGGTGCTTTTAAGGAAATATAGTATGAAACAAGTAAACCAAAGTAGTTGAAGTCTGTTTAGATTGTGTGCTGTCAAGTTGGTTTCAACTCTTAGTAGCAACACAGACAGACCTTCTCCAGGTTGATCTGTCCCCATCTCAGCCCTTCAGGTCTTTTTGGGTTATAAACCCATTGTCTTTATAATCAAGTCCATTCACCTTTTTTCTAGTCATCCTCTGCTTCTCTTTCCTTCTACCTCTCCAAGCATTATGGATTTCTCAAGGAACTGGGTCTTTTCATAATGTGTCCAAAATATGATAATTTGAGCCTGATCACATGTGCCTCCAGTGAAAACTCTGGGTTGATTTGTTTGATAATCCATTTGTTTCTTTTCTTGATTATCCATGACATTCTCAAGAGTCTTCTCCAACATCACAGTTCAAAAGCACCAATATTCTTTCTGTCCTGCTTCTTCAAAAATCAACTTTCACTTCCATAGAGTATCACATGGAAAACCACTGTTTGCATAGTTCTGATCTTTATAGGCATAGATATATCACAACATCTAAATATATTTTCCAAGGCCTTCATTTGTACCCTACCAACAGCTAGTCTGCAGTGTATTTCTTGATTGCTGGTTTCTTTTTGGTCGATAGCTGATCCTAAAAGGCAGAAGTTATCTACTGCTTCAGTGTCATTTCTAAGGCTGGTTGCTATACCTGTTGTCATTGATTTGGTCTTCTTTATATCTAATAACAGGCCTATTTTTTCACTGTACCCCTGGCCACATATTTGCTTTTATGGTATAGCTGAGCTGTTCCAGCTCCTTGTACCAATAATATAATCAATTTGATTTCTGTACACTCCATCTGGTAATGTCCATGTATATAGGCATCATTTTTGAAGTCTGTGTTAGCAATGAAGGAGTCATTGGACTGGCAGAAATGGATAAATCATTCTCCTGTTTCATTTCTGTTTCCTAGCCCATACTATGTTTTCCTCCTTACTATTTCCATCTATGGCATTCCAGTCTCCAGACATATCTTGCTGGCATGATCTTCAATTTCAGATTGAAATTGACCATAAAACTCATCAACCTCTTCTTCTTCATGCATCAGTGTTTATGAATAACTGTCATTTTAAAGAGTTGTTCATAAAGTATAATTGATATTATTTGGTGATTGACTACATTGTACCCAAGTACTGTCTTTGCTGTATCCTTCCTGACTATAAAAGCAACACCATTCCTTCTTTGTTTTTTATGTCTTGGTCGTAAACAACATGATCTTCTGATTGAAAGAGTCTAATTCCAGTCCATTTCAATTAGCTGATGCAAAAGATGTCAATGTGCAGTCTATTTCATCTTCCATTATGTTGAGCTTTTCTATTTTCATGCTTTTAACATTCTGTGTTGCAAAGTACAGTACTTCTGTCTTTCAGCTTTGGACTTTCTTTTCCTGCATGGCAACATCAGCAACTAGATGTCTGGAAGGGTTTAATCTAGCTATGCGATGTCATAAACACTATTAATACTCTGAAAGATCCTCAGCTGTTCCTTAGTAGCATGTTGAGTGCCTGAAGGCATCATCTGGCACTGTATTGTCAATCACTTTATCTTGTTTATACATGGGGTTTTTCTGGTGAAATACAAGAGTTGTTTACCACTGAAGTCTGTTTAACAACACATAAAGCTGGGGATATTGTGTAATTTGTTGGGAAAGAGTTGTACAAGTATGGGGCCACCACTGATAGAGGTCTGTTGTTATTGTTGCAGGAATTGCTTGAGGTACCTGGTGATCCTCAATGGGTGGAGACGATCACAAAGGACATTCACCGCCAGTTCCCTTTCCATGAGATGTTCCTGTCTCCTGAGGGTCCTGGGTATGCAGGGTAGAATTTCTGAATAGATTATTACAGGTTGAAATACACAGACTGGTTGTCTGAAGAACTTTGCAGCCTATCATATACTTTTTAAAGAAAATAAGTAATATTTAACTAAAATAGATAAATGTTTCATATAGTGTCTATTTTTATTTTTTTTCTTATTTTTTATTTGCAATGTTTTCTTGATTAAAAAACAAAACTACCCCAAGGCTAAATTGTAACATGCTTATGTGTTGCTCCCTATGCTCCATAATAGCATTATGTCCATGAATATGTTCTTTCACAGCTACAAGGGTTCCTGCTTCACTTAACTTTAATTTCAATTTTAAAAAAAATGAAAAGGAAGTTAGTTTGTTGCAGAGCAAAGGGCTAGCCTCTCTAAATCCCATTGGCATTTGTAGAAAATAAAAGCAATGGGTAGCCCCAGGCCACTGCTTTGCTTGGAAAGATGCCCACCTGACCAGGAAAAAAGACCCAAAGAAGCCAGAGCCGAGAAGACTCACTGGAAAGCCAAGGAGACAATGGGGAGCAACCTCACCTGTTTCCCATGCAGGATATGGTATTATGGCACTCATTTGGTGAATAGTCAAGCTCTCCCATGCTCATCTTCTTATGATGGTGCCCAATGCATGCTCTGAAATCATATATGGTCACTGGCTCAAAAAGTGTGCCTGCCCCTGGGTAGGGTTGGGTTGGGTAGGGTAGGGCAGGGCAGGGCAGGGCAGGGCAGGGAAGGGAAGGG